TCAGATGCTAGTTTATTCATTACCTTTGAAACCAAGCACATAAATTCTGTTTCTGCTTAAAATGTAAAAGCTGGAAAGAGCATTAATAATGAAGAAAAAAGTGCATAAAATCAAAACTTTCCTTGATCTCATCACAGAGCAGAACTGCAGACTTAAAATCCAACAGAGTCAAACCCACACTCATCCCCACCCTCACTCTGGTCTCTGCTGTGGCAGAGGAAAGGCAAGCAAGGAAGAAAAAAATTTAGGGCTAACATGACAATATAAACCCCCTAGGAGATACAGACACATAAGGGAGTTCACACTCAATTTGCAGGCCRTTTTCCACACTTCCACCAGTGCTCCCAGGAAAGACTGAAGCAGGGCTGGAGACAGACAGACTCCCCAGAGCATAGAGGCAGGARGAAAAGATTTAAGTAAATATCCATTGTCTAAAGAGAGAAAGAAAAAAACACAAGAATTTTCACCCTTGGAGGCAGGACAGGGAAGAATCCTGAGCCCAATATCTATATCAATATAGCCAGGAATGACCAGGAAACAGCCCCTTAGGAGCTGCAACAGATAGAAGGCGTTGGGAAGAAGAACAATAATGCTGAAAAACCCTCTCTCCAAGAYACAGCCTCAACAGGCATACTGAACACTAAGGCTAGGTTTGGACCACAGAGAATGCCTCCGGCCCACCATCAGCCTAGCAAGCACTGAGTAATAGGCAACAACAGTCTACTGCTRGGAGAGGAGCAAGAATATAGAGAGTAAGAGATGCACCTCCCCAGGGAAAGCATAAAACTGAGCATGGAACAGAACACTGAGAAAAACTCTCCAGCAACACAGCCCCCATCCAAAGCCCAAAGTAATAGTTGGTGGTAACCAGRGCAACTACAAGACCAAAATCTTGTCAATCCCTATCTAGATTGACTCAACACTCTTGGCAAATCAAAGGCATGACCATTTTTTGGCATAAAAACTATTTCTTCAGTCTCTATTATTCTATATAAGATATTTGAAATTCAATAAAATATTTTTGAGATACACAAAGCAATAAAAAAGAACCAGACTCAGATGACCCAGTGATCTTTTTTTTTTAAATCACAATCTGCAACTGGTAAGTAGGGAATAGATGCTGTACATACATGATAGATTGGGAAGATCAAAAATGACAGAAGAAGAAATAAACAAGCATGTACATTTCTACCCTGTCTCAGATCCTGACAAAAAAAAATAGCATTAAAAAACTATTTTTAGCATATTATTAAAGCCTGTACATTAAAACATAAAAGACTATAACTAAAATTTATGAACACTCTGATTCTCATCTAGCTACTGAGTAATAAGTAACTCATTAGCAAATAAGAAAAAATTAATCTGCTTATAAATTTTGAAGCTTTTTAAAATATGCATATTTCTTGTRTTATGTTTATTAGTTTGGTGAAAAGTGCTTTTACAATTGTACTGGAGTAAAATTTGGGAAAGGCTGAAAGTGAAAAATTTCTATAAATACTTGAAGATAAAATATTCTCAAAATAATATCCCTAAAAACCAAATGCTCACAGAATGATAAACAGCCCAAAAGCAAAATGGGCAAAAAACATAAACTAGAAATACCCTCAAGAAATACAAATAAAAATTGATGATACCTAAGGTTGTTAGGAATGTTGAAAACTGGGCACTCTTCACTCACTGCTGTGTGGGAATGTAAACTGGTACAACAAGTACTCCTTCAACTCCTCAAAAACAATAGAATTTAGGCACTATTCACACTCAAAGAAAGTCTCCTATGTCTGCTAGCTCCCTATTCTTTCTATATTCAACCCATATTGGGCTGTATTTATATCCACTGTCTTGCCTCTGCACCACTGAAATACCTGTTTGCCAATTCCCCTGCAAAATTCTCTCTTTCAAAACCCACCTCAAACATTTCTTGCCTACTCTTCCCCAGGTAAAATTAATCAACCTTTTATGTGTAATCTCACAGCACTTGGGATTCCTCTAATATAAGAGTTAAAAACATTAAACTGAAGTTAGATCATAGATCTGTGCTAATTTATAATAACTCTGTGCTAAAGAGTTCCACTTATCAACAACAAAAATAATGGGACATGAATAGGAAATTCAAAGTAAAGAAAAATTAAATGCTCTTAAACATATGAAGAGATACACAACTTCATTAATAATAAAAGAAATATCAATTAAAACCATAACAACATTTATTATCTATCAAACTGACAATGAGCAAAAACATTTGACTATACTAAACATGGGAAAATAGGCATTCTAATAAAACTTACTGCTAAGGACATAAACTAGCAAAATATCTATGAAGACAATTACCTATCAAAATTATAAATGCGCATACCTTTGACCCATAATTCTATTTTGTATATTTTAAAGCTAATACTATAAATACTTTCATTATATTTGTTAAGATATATGATTGTACATGATTATTCACTTCAGGATCCTTTGCAGTGGCAAAAGATTAAAAAGATAAACATGTATCAGTATGGGAATAGTTATACAAATTATGGTACATTTGGATAATTAAAAATTTTACAGTTAAAATAACTGGATAGCTCCAAATGAAACTATTTCCAAGCTATATTTTTAAATGAAAGACGCAAAACTAAGATGTACTAAATATTTGTATAAATGTATAGTACACTACCACTTATACAAAAAGCAATATAATCACATTCAAAAAATAATATAGTCATATACTTATTAAAAAAGGGGATCATCACAACTGAATRGCTGAAGGACAGAGGTAGGAAGACTGACCTACTTTTCACTACATAACCTTCATACTTTTTTAACTGCTTACCATGAATACATTATCTACTCAAAGAATTAACTATTTTGTTTTAAATAATTTAAACAACAAAAAGCAATTATTTATGTTGCTCTCAATTCATTATGAAATCTTTAAGGGCAAAGAACTGAACATGTGCCTCATCATCTTCATATCACAACATGATATCTTGCACATTGCCTAACATAGAAATGAGAAATGCTTATCAAARTATGCTAAAGTGACTAGAGCCATAGCACATGCCTATAATCCCCACTACTTRGGAGGCTGAGGAAGAAGGATCACATGTTCAAAACCAGACCTGGCAACTTAGAGGTGCCCTRTCTCAGAAATAAAAAGTAAAAAGAACTAGGGAGGTAGCTTAGTAATAAAACAYCCCTCAGTTCAATTCCTGGTACCACAAAAAGGATAAAGGGAGAGGRATAAAAGAGGGAGAGGGAAAGGGTTAGGGGAAAAGAGAGAGAGAAGGAGAGARAAAAACAGAGAGACAGAGAAAGAAACTACTGTGGCAAAGATAACCAGATACTCAATTAATTTTAAAGAAACAAAAAACATATTAAACAACTGGGAATTTACAGAATGCTTACTATGTGTTAGAACACTATACAATGCACACTATACCTATTCATTTAATCTTCATTATAGCTCTATGAAGTGCAGATTTTATATAATGAAGGAATGGAAGCCCAACAAAGATCAAATAATGTGTCCAGGGCTATCTGGCTTGATTGTGCTAGGGGAAAGTCACCAAAACTTTCCAAATTTTAGTTTTCATTTTGGGTATCCCATAATCTAAGGATTGTATTCTATCAAATTTTGTCAAAAAGTTTGTCAAAAAGCTTTTTTGTCAAAAATTTTGTAGATTGAACTCTATTTGCTTTTCAGAKGATACTCTCCAAAAATCACTGATTTCATTATTCCATACTAGCTATGAAGAGTAATAGCTCTGAAGTCAAACARTTTGGGCTGAACACCTTCCTCTAGCAAATTCAAGCCGGATAACCCTGGGCATATTATCTRATCTTTATTGGGCTTCCATTCCTTCATTTGTAAATGCTTATATAAAATCTGCACTTCATAGAGCTATTATGAAGATTAAATGAATAGGTATAGTGTGCATTGTATAGTGTTCTAACATAGTAAGCATTCTGTAAATTTKAATTATTGATAGTCTACATCTTCTTATAATTATCTCTGAGCCACTTCTTCTGCTTCAAAAATGGGTGACATTATACAGGGAGACATTCAGAAAAAAGCTAACTACAACTATCTGTTACTATCTGTTTCTACACTTCATTAATACCAGTGCTACTTGGAGAGAAAAACAATYAGTGCCATGCCCGTCAACCAGATGGTACAAGACTAAAGCCTGGAAGTTTAACCCAGACCTGCCTTTCAGTCCCTTACCTCAGCAGGGAACAAAGCAATAATGCCGTCAGGCTATCATACCATCATTCAATTTAACCAGTCAATGGCAGTATGAATGGAGCAAAGGACTAAATTCTAATTCCAATATAAAACCAGTTCTTGTTTTTGGAAATCACAAGTTGGGGGGAAAAAATTCATTCTTTGGGTTTCTACATGTTCAAATTCTACATTAAAAAAAAGGTATATTTATATTTTAATACATATATTACGGAAATCTGAAATCCCACTATAAAATATAATACCAGTAATCCTATAACACCTGCTAATAAAAAGTTCCTAAGAAAAAATAATTTAAAGAGCAGAAATAAAAACATATACACACAGAGTATACCTTAATTAAAATTCATTAACTGGAACAGTGGATTATGTTCTAAACAGCCATRAAAGCATATGGAAAAGGCTTTCTGGAACTAAATTTCTTGGGTTCAAGTCATTAGCACATATATTAACTCTGACCTTGAGCTAGTTACATAATCTATCAGTGCTTTGATTTTCTTCTCCATTAAAAAGCATAATAACACTAGCTTTCTCATAGGATTGCTGTGGGGATTAAATTAGTTACTGAATGTCAGTGTTCAATAAATGTTAAGTATTACTGTAATAAGTCTTATCTTTCATTCATTACTACAAGGTCAAAGAAGCAGAGATGATAAACTTTTACAACCGTATCCCCCTATGAATCTTTATGGAACTAAGCAAGTTTTTATTTTTTTAATCAAACTTTTAAATAATAGTAAATGAAACAGTAATTACAAAAAATACTTACTTTGTAGCAGCAGCAGCAAAATGTCTGTTGGGCACTTGAATGTTTAAAGAACAAGGATAAAGAGACATCTGATAAACCATCTTGGAAAGATGACAYCTCTGATGACATATCAAGACTTGAAAAGAAAAAAAAAATATTAACATTAATCCAGTATATTAAAATTCTTTACATTATAAAGATTAGCTTTTCCAAATCATTCAATATTTTGTGATCTTTAACCATTCTACAAAAGTCTAACAATAGAAACCACATTTCTAGAAACTAGGTGAACACATTTTGAGGGGGTGGTACTGGGGATTGCCCACTGAGCTGCATCCCCGGCCCTATTTTGTATTTTATTTAGAGACAGGGTCTCACTGAGTTGCTTAGTCCCTTGCTTTTGCTGAGGGTGGCTTTGAACTCACGATCTTCCTGTCTCGGCCTCCCAGCTGCTGGGATTACAGGCATTCACCACYGTGCCTGGTTAACCACATTTTTTATTCAAACAATTTTGTTATTTATTTTTAACTTAATCTGCTTCAGGCTCAACAAAGTATGCAGGCTCTATTTTTAGGGAGCAAGTATTAAGTATCCCTGAATTTTTAAATAATTTACATTCATTCATTTCTTAATAGATAATGGATTCACAGAGTTGTCCTTCTGAAGATCAGAACAAAGTGGGTGACGTGCCCTAGCAGAGATCAATATTTGTAAAGTTATAGAAATTAAAACACTTTAGTATAGAAAGTGTATACATGAACTAGTATAGAAAGGCAAATTAATAAAGCAACAAATAGTTCAGACATAGATACATGCATATATGGATACTTGAAATAAAATCGATGTTATTGCAAATCTCTGCACATTGAATTGAATCTAATAAGTTGTGCAGAGATAATGATTACCCATAAGGAAACAAGTATATTTAGATGCTACCACTAACACACACACACACACACACACACACACACACACACACACATCAAATCTAGATGGATAAAAGACTTACATAAATGCCAAAACTTAAAAAGACTTTAAAAATATAGAAAAATAACTTTATGAACTTTGGGGAAGAAATTATTTCACAAAAAAGCACTAAAATATGGCTGCATTAGTATGAAGAGCTTGTTTATTAAATATTCTTTTTAAAAAAGTGAAAAGATGGGCTGGGGTTGTGGCTCAATGGTAAAGCACTTGCTTAGCATGCATGAGGCACTGGGTTCNAAAAAAGTGAAAAGATAAGTCAGATATATTGGCAAATGCATAATTAACAAAAGATTAATATTTTAACAATAAAAGATAATTTAATAATATATGATCAACTGAATTGAGAAATGAACAAAACCAAGACTTCTAATTGAAAAGGAAACACAAATAATGCATAAATACATTAAAAATGCACAACCACATTAGTAACCAAGTAAATAAAAATTTAAAACCTAATAAATATCTTATATCAGTATTACTTAGTGGTGATCAGGAGGCCTGTTATAGTTTGCAACTAAATTAAAATTACACCAACATATAAAACATCACTAAGTAATTATTTAGTGTATTTGACAATATATTTTCCACAAAATTTTCTCAAAGGAGGAAGTGCTTTGATCTCATTGTGGACAGGTAAACAGTTTATGATCAGATAATAGATAATTTAAGTAGCACCATTTTACATACTCAGATTGACAAAGCTTTAACAAAAAGTCACTGACAATATCAAGCAGGGATAAATTTTAGACACTGAAGATGTGTAATTGGAATACCACTTTGGAAAACAATATAGCACGACCCAATGACACTGAGCATGCATATMCCAATGATGCAATAATTCTACTTCTAAGCATGTCCCTTGCACCTGTCTACCAAGAGACATGCACAAGGATGATCATATCATTATTTGTAATAACAAAACTACAAAAAAGAACTCAAGCAACTACAATAGGATGGATAAATACATTGTGGTATATTTCTATAATAGCCATAGAACTGTAAAAATAAATGAACCATGCTACATAGTTGAGTTTCACAAACATAATGTTGAGCCAAAAAAAGCAAGTGGCAGAACCACTATTCAGTAGGCACAATTTAATCCCCAGTCATGAAAAACAAAAATTAAAATTTCCAACAGAAACTGCTACAGATCTACCAAACTGCTACAGACTAAAACAAACCAAGTTACAAAAAAAAAAACAAAAAAAAAAAAAAACCACTATTTAAGTAGGACTACTATACCATGATGTCTGTATTTTCAATTCTTATTTTAAGAGTCTTTCTTTATTACCCACTTACCCTTAGCAGATAACCTCATAGACCTCAGAGCTTCCTCAACTACTTAAGAACTGAACCTGCATCTGTACTCATTCTCCAAAGTCTTGCCCACTCYTACCCATGTTGGTAACAAAATGGAAACTAATCGGCCTCCTTTGTTACCTTACTCTTTTAATTGATACTGAATGGTTACATTCCCCAGAAATGAGTGGTAAACTGCCTTCTCACTCAACTCTCATCTTTACTCTCTAGGAGATCTTATCCATCCTTCTAGTCTTTGCTTTCCTTTATAACCCCATTTCAACCAGGCCACCTGGATTACTACAAACTCCAAACTCTTCCATTATTCTACTTTTGGCCCTCTYTGTTTCTTTTCCACCTGTTGTTAGTAAAAAAGATCATTTTTTAAAGGACATCTGTCTCCATGTCCTTAAATCACTTGTATAGCTCAACCTGGCTCTTTGAACAGAGTAAATTCTTACCAACATACTCTATGAGTTACTTCTAACCTATCAAACACTAAACTGCTACAGACTAAAAGAAACCAAGTTACAAAAACAAAAACAAAAAACCATTCCTTCATGCTTACCATGCTTTAAATCACTCACCTCCTTTCAGTTACCTGAACAGTTACTCTGTTCTTTACCTCCTTAGGATTTTCGTACAAAATCTTTCTTCCCTCTGTGACATTCTTTCCTACCACTTTCCCTTCACATGATGAATTTCACAGTAATCTAGTCATGTTTCAGATATTCCACTTAAACATTACTTCTTCAGAACAGTCTCCCTGAAGAYTCAGAATAGATTAGGTCTCTCATATACACTTTTTTTTAAATGTTTTTTTAGTTGTCAATGGACCTTTATTTTATTTATGTATACGCAGAGCTGAGAATCAAACCTAGTGCCTCATACATGTTAGGCAAATGCTCTATCACTGAGCCACAACTCCTGCCCTRCATTTCTATAGCATTTTGTACTTTTCTTTCTCAACACATAGGACATTTGTAATTAAAGAAATAAYTGTTCCTTAATAGATGGTAAATACTATCAGTAGGAAGCAAACRTGTATAGCTTGTTCACCACTGTACCCCTAACCACCTAGCTTAGTGTTTGACAAATGGAGACTCAATAAACAGCTGCTAAATGAATGAACAAATTAAAGCAAAACCTGGATTCAAACTATTTTAAATATTACCTATTGCACCACACAAAGAGAATGCCTTGTGTGTGTGTACACACACATATGTGTTCAGAAAGTTTTGCCAGGAACAATAGCAAACACCTATAATCCCAGTTCCTCAGGAGACTGAGGCAGGAGAATCAAAAGTTCAATGCCAGCATGGGCAATTTAGGAAGACCCTGTGTGAAAATTAAAAAGTGAAAGAAAAAAAAAAAAGACTGGGGATGTAGCTAGGAGGTGGAACACCTGCCTAGCATGCACAAGGCCCAGGGTTCAATCTATAGTACCACAAAAAAATAAATAAATAAAAATTAAGTTTTATTGTAAAACAGCTAGTTCATTTATTAACATTATTGTCTGTGGCTTCTTTCGTGCTACAATGACAGAGATGACAGATGGCTTGTAAATCTAAAGYATTTACTATTCATCTCTTTACGGAAAATGTTTTCTGGTCCTGTTATTAAAAAAAAAAAAAAAATACCCTCTAGTACCAGAAGTAGGTAGAGACAATGGTTGGGTAGGGCATTAAGCAAGGCACCTCTCAGCAAGGTACGGAAATGCTCCTGCCAGAAATCCAGCCTAGAATATTTTATTTTGTCCAGGTGTTCTTCAATAGATGAATGTGGTGTGTATATATATATATATATATATATATATATATATATATATACACAAAATGGAGTTTTATTCAGCCATAAAGAAGAATGAAATTATGGCCAGTAAGTGGATAGAAATGGAAAGCATCATGCTAAGTGAAATGAGTCAGATTCAGAAAAAAATCAAGCATTCAATGTTTTCTCTCATATGCAAAAGCCAGAGCAAAGTATGGGGGAGTGGGAGGGATCATATATCATAAGCATAGAGAGAAAACMATGGATAAGAAGGAAACTGAAGGGGAGAGAAAAGGGATGGGAAAGAAGAGGAAATGTAAAATGAATTTAACAAAATTATGCTATGAGCAAGTATACATATACCACAGTGAATTCTACCTTTATGTATATCTACAAAGCACCAATTAAAAATAAACAAAAGAAAAACCTGTAAAGGAAAGGGAATAGGCAGGAGGAAGAGAAGGAAAGAGGAGGCACAAGGGACTGAAATGGAGCCAATTAAATCTCATACATGTATGATTAAGTAAAAATTAKCCCAACTATTATATATAACTATAATGTACTATTAAAAGCATAAAAAAAGAATACTGTGCTTTAGAATATTGTCCATAGACCAAAGAGCAACCAGAAATTACAGTATACCCTAATTCCCTCATAATTGTGCTTTTCAAAATGTCATATGATTGAATGTCAAACCTATCTGTGTGAAAATCTATACTCTATTAACTGCAGCATTATTATGGTGGATAACTTGTATTAGGAATGAGTTTTCAGTCTTAAAGATGGGTATTTGTAAAAATTGCATAATTCTTTGGTCACGTCTTTGTACCACACTCSGTTGCATTTCTGTGCATTTGCTTAAGTACTGTCCAGTTCATCAGGCAGTTTGAGTGAGGGTGTTTTAAAATACAATTGTTTGAAGGCTATGCACAAACAGGAACTGCAGGCAGAGAAAGCAGATTTTTAGAAGAAAAAACAAGTTTTGCTACATGAACCTAGATGTAAGGTATATATCAAAGCTGCTCTCACTTGAAGGGGGGACATTTTTTCTTGATGATCCAGGATTCATTCATTCACTCGCTCAACAATAAATGTACCAACAAAATATGTGGTAACACTACCTTAAGCATTTAGGATACATTCATAAACAAAACACAAAAATCCTRTTCTCAAAGTGCTTATGTTCTATTGGGAGGGAATACCAATAAATATAATATGGGGGAGGAGGGAATGAAGGATAAGACATCAAATGTACCAACAAAATATGTGCTAACACTGCCTTAAGCATTTAAGATACATTCATAAACAAAACACAAAAATCCTATTCTCAAAGTGCTTATGTTCTACTGGGAAAGAATACCAATAAATATAATATGGGGGATGGAGGGACTGCAGGATAAGATATCAAGTCAGAAGGAAAGTGGTTTGCAACTTTAAGTGGTTAAGATTGGCCTTATTTAAAAAGGTGATATTGAGCAAAGATTTGAAAGAAGAAAGTGAACAGCACTAATACCTAGAAACATGTTCCAGGTCAACCATCCCAAGGCAGAAATTMTCGGTGTGTTTATGGAACCAGGAGGAAACTGTAACCATAAGATTAAGTGTAGAGAGGTTAATTAGAGAAGAAGTCAGAGAAGTTAAGCTGGGGATTAGGGGAAGAGGCAGGCACTARATGATGTGGAAAACTATAGGCTAGTGCTATTTAACAGAATTTGAGCCACATGTAATTTTAGTTTTTTCTAATAACCACAATAAAAAAAGAATAAAAACAGTGATATTAACAAATATATTTTGCTATAGCTAACCTCCCATAATATTATCATTTCATTATCAGTATTTAAAAATTAAGATATTTTACACTTTTTGTACTAAGCCTCCAAAACCTAATGAATATTTCTGCATGTTCTCACTTACATTCAGAAACTAGAAAAAGTTAATCTCACACAAGTAGAGAGAAGAATAGGGGTTAAAAGAGGCTGGGAAGAAGAGGGAAATGGAAAGAAGATGATAAATATGATCAAGGACATAGTTGGGCAGAAGGAATCATTTCAAATATTCTATAAAACAACATGGCAATTATAGTTGGCAACAATTAACTGTATACCTCAAAATAACAAGTATAGGTGCAACCACTCTGGAAAGTAGTATAGAGATTTCTTAGAAAACTTGGAATGGAACCACCATTTGAACCAGCTATCCCACTCCTGGGTCTATACCCAAAGGACTTAAAGTCAACATACTAAACATCAATGTTTACAGCAGCTCAATTTAAAATAGCTAAACTGAGAGCAACCTAGATGCCCTTCAATGGATGAATGAATAAAGAAACTGTGTTATATATACACAATGGAACATTACTCGGAGAATAAAATTATGGCTAAGCCAATCCCAAAAAAACAAAGGCCAAATGTTCCTCTGATAAGCAGATGCTGATCCATGATGGGGGAGGGCATGGGAAAAATGGAGGAACTTTGATTGGGCAAAGGGGAGGGAGAGGCAAAGAAGGGGTAKGCGGACRGGAAAGATRGTAGAATGTGATGGACATTATTACCCTAGGTTCATGTATGGCTGCACATACAGTTCAACATTACATTGTGTACAATCAGAGAAATGAAAAGTTGTTCTGCAATTGTGTACAATGAATCAAAATGCATTCTGCTGTCATATATACCTAATTAAAATAAATTTTTAAAAAGATTAATAGCATCAGGCAGTGATATTTTTGTTTTAAGTAAACAAGAAATCAAGACACAGAGTTAAAAGGAAATTAAGATACACAGTTTATTTCATGTATTAAATTATTGATAGGTACTCGTCTAGAATTCAAACCTCTTGACTGAGAAAAAAACAATTTTATTGGTCCTTTTTTTTTGTACTATACTTGAATTTATTCCAAGAAATGAGACTGGGGAGAGAAAGAGGAATCAGTCAACTAATATAAGAAGGAATGACAGGTGAAATAGAAAAAAAAAAATTAAGAGAAAGGTATCCAGGAAGCTAAGAGAAGAAAATGTGGCAAGAAGAGAATAATAACCTTCGCGGTTCTCCTTTTGATTTCTTTGGTTTTGTCTAATGTAATGTGATTGCTGTCATACAGGGAAGATAACGCCACCAATCTCCTTTCAGTAATAATATACATTTTGGTTTGCTTACTTAGTAGTGGTCTGAGTCTACTGTGATCTCTTGCTACCCATGCTATCCCTAACTTTTGAACAACTATTCCAAGTAAAGGATGCTCATGATGACACAGCTTTCTTGTAAGAAGCTCAAAGAGAAAACTGTAATGCTGTGTTTCAAAAAGCAGAGAGCAGGGCTGGGAGGTGTGGCTCAGTGGTACTGCCCTTATCTAGCGCTGGTGAGGTCCTGGGTTCAGTCGCCAGGACTGCAGAAAATCACTGGTTTAGGAGTGCAAGCTTCAGTTCCTCCCCTACCACTTATTGATTATATAAATTTGGCCACATACCAACAACCCAACAAAATCATCTCCCCCTTTCTATAAAATTAAGGGATAGGGTATGCTCGCTGTTGCCTCCGCCTAAAATTGGACTTTATTCACTGCTGAAAAGAGTTGCTGAAATACCTTCCAAAAGGTACACGTTGGTCCAAATTAGATAATGTTTAAAAACTGTAATCACTTGAAACGATGTATCTAGAAAGCAACAACAAGCACTCTGAAAACTGTCAAGGCTTAAGGATGGAGGTCACTTAAGTGTACCACCAGTCTAAGGAGAACTCACTTCTTCACTTATCAAACTCCACCTACCCACTCCCCAGTCCACACACTGTAGATAGAACCCTGCCTTCCACGCTGGTGGTAGTAGGAACTTCAATGATACATTCCCCCGCCAATCCGCCCTCAAGGTGACTGGCTTCAGAAAGGAATGAAACCTCCAATAAGGTTGCTTTTAAGTAGTGATGACCCTTCAAAGAACCTAGAGCCCAGAAAGTGCAAGAGGCGTGTCGAGTTCCTATACCTGATCCGTGCTTCGGGGACTCTGGCTTGCATTCCGCTGTAACCCAAGACTCAATGAACTATTTTCTCCCTAAGACACCCCACGCCTTACCTCTCCCGAGGCACCTGACGGCCGCCGCCATGTTGACCACTCCGGATTGTGTTGATGAAATTGGTCCTACAATTCAACTGGGGAGAATGAAAAAAGAGTTCCGTTCCGGAATTGGCGAGGAGGGAAGCGGTTAGAAGGCACAAGAGGAACAGGGCGGAGACCAAAACAGGCTTTTCTTGCCGGCGTGGCGGTGTTGCTGTCACTCCACGGTGCTGCCTAGGACCCTCCGTTTAGAGGTTCCGGTACGATGGCTTAACCACCTTCAGGAAAATACGATCTTGTTAGAGATGCTTTAATTACTTTATTTTGTTCGGGTTTTTTAAAATTTTTTATCCTACCTATGTACAATAATTTTAATAGATCGTGAGGAAACCTAGGACCCAGCCTAAAATATTTTAAAGCTGAAGATCCCACCAGTTTCCTCAGCCACATTTCCATCCTTGTTAAGAATGTCTCTAACCTGCCCGGCTGGGCGGAGGAGGTAGCGCCGAGGGAGACGCTGGCCTAGCAGGCGCGAGGCCCTGGGTCTGGCCCCAGCAGCAGAAATAAAAAAACAAATTCCGCCCGGCTTTTCGCCAGCACCCAAGGGGAGGGAGATCCCACTCACTAACAAACTTCCTTTTTAGCTCAGCGCAAAATCAGCCGTAATAGTTTTATGTTGATCTAACTTTCGGTTTTACATCCCTCCCTTCCCTGCCCTGCGAGCTGTGCCATCAGGATCAATTGAATAATAATACAGCATTCGACATTTATGTAACGCGTGCAGTTTTAAAATGGCAGATCTGAGACCTACGCTCAGGTTAATTCTAACCAAAAAAAAAAAAAAAAAAACCAAGAAAACTAAATGTCATTTCCATTACGTCACAGCTGTCCGTGTGGTTTATCAAAAACAAATCTAATCACTGATTTTATCACTTCCCAGTTTTAAATAAAACCCTCCAGTGACTGGCTATCTAAAGGCCTCTGCGTATCCCCTGTTCACCCCAACCTAGGTCACACACACACACACACACACACACACACACACACACACGGGGTTTCTCACCTCCATGACTTTTTTCATTCTGTCCTTTTCGCTTGAAATATATTGTTCCACATTATCAGGTAACAGTATCAGGTTTTTTTGTTTTTGTTTTTGTTTTTGTTTTTAAGATTTCAGGTCAGACTTTCCTCATTGACGAAGGCTCCCTCCTGACTTCTGAGGGGGAATTATGGCCACCTCTTCCTGGTTTTATGTAGTTACATCTAGTTTTGTTTGTTTCGAGCAATTTCAAAATATGATTTATATACATAAAATTCACCAATCTAAATTGTATCCTTCAATTTTTTTTTTTTTTTTTTTTTTTTTTTTTAGTAAATTAGAGAATTGCACAACCATCCCAACTTATGCCACTGAGCACTTAGTGGCAGAATTCTTGTCATTCATTTTTGTAACCTTAGCACCTTTCATATAATACCAGACACAGGAGGCCCTCAATAAATGTTTGTTGAATAAGTAAATGTTTGTATGCATGAATTAGTGACTCCATTAGAAGGACAAGCCTGAAAAATTAACTTGCTTCCATGAAGTTGTTTCTGAAGATGGGCTATAATCAAAGTAGGAATTTCCAGGTGTTTTATTTTATGTTTATATAGATTACTCAGCAATATGAAGAATACGGTTTCTAATTTATTGCCTTTTCTTGTGAACAGCTAAGCAGTTACTTCAAAGATTTCACAACTATTTCTGATTGTTATTTTTCAAAGAATTTAACTGGGAATGATGGCCTGTGCCTGTAATCCCAGCAACTCAGGAGACTGAGACAGAAGGATCACAAGTTTGAAGCCAGCCTGGGCAACTTAAACCTTGTCTCAAAAAACAAAAAGGAGCATCACACTTCACAATACCTAAACTGTGGAACCAGCCTACATGTCCATCAGCAGATAAACTGATGAATAAAATGTAGTAYATATACACAATGAAATTTTATTCAGCCATAAAGAAAAATGAAATTATGTCATTTGCAGGAAAATGGATGAAACTAGAGACCATTATGTTAATCGAAATAAGCCAAACTCAGAAGGTCAAGAGTTGTATGTTTTCTCTCATATGTTGTAGCTAGAGAGGGAAATGGAAAAGAAACATGGGGGCAAGGTGGGGATCTCATGAAAATCAAAGGGAGAATAATAGAGGAAAGGAACTAGAAGATGGGAGGCAAAGAGGGAGGAGATAAGTGCTATGGAGTGATATTTGCCAAATTATATTTTTATGTGCATGTATAAATATGTAACAACAAATCCTATCAGTATGTACAAACATAATGCACCAATAAAAAAATGTGAAAAGAGAAAAAACAAAAATTTGAATTTCAGATAAACAACAAATAATTTTGTAGTATATGTCCCAAATATTACATGAGACATACTAAAAAGTTGGTTGTTGTTTGGATGAAATTTAAATTAACTGAGTCCCACCTTTTTGTTTGTTTAATCTGGGCATCATACATTGGACATCTTCTTGGGCACTAACCCTGACAAATGCCAGCCACTTTGGGACTCCCCAGAGAAAGTGATGTGATGACAGTGAGATCCCTTTTCAGAAAAGTGATCTGATGACAATGGGAGATGGCATGTTGCTGGCAGTGAGAGAAATGAATAAAATATTTCATACTTGTTTTCAGGACCTGTCCCTTAAAGTCTTGGAATTCTCCAATTTCTTGATCTGGTCTTAAGATCAAAGACAGGCCTTACAGTTCTCTTTGGTAGGGCATATGTACTCTTTTAGATTAACATTCTGGAGCAATTTCTTCAGAGAGGGATATATCAGAAAGTATAGAAAAATGTTATTAGGCTGATATAGTTTTTCTTCAGTTTTCATTGATTGTTAGATTTAAATAAGTCACTCCTTCTTTTAACTATTAATTAACTATTAATACTATATTCTACATATTGATGAATGTTTCCCAAGTTCTAGCTTCTGTTCTAAACATTTCACACAAGATACTTAAGGCCTATTGGTTATCTGTGTTTTATGAAGGAGGAAATTGAGAATCAGAGAAGATGACAAACTCTCCCAGGGTCACTTCACTAATAAATGAGAGAAACAAGTTGCAACCCAAGCCTTCTTACTACAGAGTTTTCAGAATAAAAATCTTAAAAAATAAAGAGTACTCATGATGTGGCTCAGTCATAAAGAGCCCCTGGGTTCAATCCCCAGTTACACACACAAAAAAAAAACACACACATACATTCAAAGAATATGAATCTACCCTTAAAACTTTCTTCCTTCTTGCTGTCCTTTCCTCCTGTTCTGTCTTTTTTTACACAAACGTGATCATCTGCCATGTTTCAAGCAGCATAAGTGGCTATGCATTGATGTGGTGAAAAAAGCCGACAGTCGTCTGTCTTGTGATTCTTTAAATTTAATTAAATTTGAGGATGTATGCAAGTTCACCTAGACCATTTCAGACAAAGTAAACACCCAGATTAGGGATGCTGATTCTTTGACTATACACGTCTTCTCTTTCTACAACTTAGGTCAGTTTGGCCCCCATCTATAGACCTCTTTATGTCTCCTAACAGGAGAATTTAAACCTTTGGTTCTGGAACTCACAGTAGTATGTAGTAGTCCAATCATTAAAGCAATGTCCTGGATGAGTACAGCTTAACTGCCTTCTTTGGACACTAGAACTTGGCAGCATTAGTCAAGTGAGGTATGGAGTCCAGCTGCTTATATAAAACAATTCACAAGGAAGTTCTTTAGCTTAAAACTTTATAAAAACCACAGAAGGACTTAATTTTTAAAAACTACAAAAATTCATACTCTGAAATGAGAACTCTAAGCATCTAAATATTTGATACATAATGAAATTTTCCTCACTGAAGAGAGTCAGTGGAGCTTTTGGTTTAAGTGGTTGTGCTCTGAAGCAAAACAACCTAGGCTTGAATCTCAGTATCATCACTTACTAGTTGTATGAGGACCTCAGTTTCTTTATTTGTGATATGGACCTAATAATGAGATAACTACCAAGTTACTTACTTCAGTATCTGGCACAGAGTAAAGAACTGGTGAGCTTTCTTAAAAACAAAATAAACTATCTGCTTATTTATGAATATGATCCCATACATGAAGGATGTCATTTTTTTCATATTAGAACTTTTATTAGTGATTGCAGAAAGTCTCCAGGCTGTGTTTATTCACTTCCTCAAAGTTTACTTTAAAATGCAACTTTTCCCAGTTGATCTCTAAGAAGGTTTAGACTTTTCCAGAGTCTTGGGAAAATGCCAGCTGCCAGCCTACTTGGCTAACTTCCCTGGGGAAAGCTTCTAAATATGTGCTTAGCCCTGTAATCATGTTGATCTGTTCTTTGCCTTCTTCAAACATCTTCCAGTTAATTCTTTGTAAGAAGAATCACTTCCTATTTGGGGCTCAGGTTGAAAATAGATTCTCTTATTGGACAAAAATAAGAAACTCTTAAGACATTTTTATTTTGGTAGCATCCATTAGATTCACTCAAGAACTTWTTAAACTCAGTTGATGAGTTCCACCCCAAGGTTTCTGATCTAGTTGCTCTGGAGTGATAACTTGTGGATTTGCATTCATAATAGGTTCTCAGGTGATGCTGACATACTGGCCAAATGACTATTCTTGGAAAACTGCTCATTATTCAATATTATAAAACATTTGCATCCATATCTAACATTAACTTGAGGATGAATTGTTTCATTTAATAATTTCATGCTCAATATAATATAGGGAAAAGTTCCCATGTATTACACATCTAGGACCAGAATCTACTCATTCTTATCTTCTCCAACTTTATACAGAAATTGCTATTCCTGTCAAGGTTTCAGCTTCAAAAAATGTCTACTGTCAATGAGGAGTTCCAATGCCTGTCTGCCTACCTATCAGGATTTAAACTATTACCAACTCTTAGAATCCCTCTCCTACCCCATGTACTTATTTTGGATTCTTTTTTCATAAATAAATGTCTAAAGTAATAGTTTCTTAGTCTTAAGTTTGAACATTCTATAATAGATTGAAACTCATTTTCAACTTGTCCCACACATCTAGGAGCTTCTCAACTCCCCAAGAGACTAGTTTAATTTCAGATTGAAATAAGTGATGAGAACTCTCCACTGGTATGCTGATAAAAGCTTAACTATGGGTATTCCAGTATAAAATAAATGAAATTGTAGCATTCTATGCTGTAAACACTCACAATAATTGACTTCAAGCCAC